CATACATACATACATACATACATACATACATACATACATGCATACATACATTACACTACACTACATTACATTACATTACATTACATTACATTACATTACATTGCATGTATACATACATACATACATGCATGCATGCATACATGCATGCATACATAAATGCACGCATACAAGCCTACATACAAACATACATGTGTACATACATACATACATACATACATACATACATGCATGCATGCATGCATGCATGCATGCGTACATACATACATACATGTAATCATGCATACATTCATACATACATACGTGCATGCATGCATGCATACATACGTGCATGCATACAAACCTGCAGATAAACATACACATAGATATATCTATATACATAAATTCATAAATACATACATACATACATACATACATACATACATGCATGCATGCATGCATGCATGCATGCATGCATGCATGCATACATACATACATACATACATACATACATACATACATACACGCGGAGAGAGCGCGTTTCACGGGCGCTTGCCTTGGGAACATTCGGCGGCGCGTATCGAACCGGGGGGTGGGCCCCCCCCACACTCGGTGCCGTCGATCAAAACCAGAGGGACTCCCCTGCCCCCCAAAACCCCCCCTCCCGAACCCCCCCCTTTGCGCGCCGGCGCCGGCGCTGGCGGCCGCGGGGACGCAGCGACGATGACCAGAAGAAGCTCAAGGTAGGGGGGGATTCAAAACCCCCCCCCGCGCCGGCGCCAGCGCCGGCGCTGGCGGCGGCCAGCAGCGCCGTCGATCGCGCCGGCGTCAGCGGGGACGCAGCAACGACTACCACCACTTCCACCACCAACACCACCACTACCGCCCCCACCACCGCCTCAACCCACCACACCACCACCACCACCAACCCACCACACGACCACCACCACCACCCCAGCCACCACCACCACCACAACTCAACATCACAACCGCCACCACAAAAACCGAACATCGCTACCAGCACCACCATCTACCACACCACCACCACCACCACCACCGCCACAACCCACCACCACTACCAGCAGCACAACCCACCACCACCACCACAAACCAACACCACCACCACCACCACAACCGCCACCACCACCACCACAAGCACCACCTCCACAAACCACCACACCACCACTACAACCCACCACCACCACAAACCACCACCACACCACCACCAAACCACCACCACCACCACAACCCACCACCACCACCATCACCACCACAAACCACCACCACACCACCACCAAACCACCACCACATCACCACCACCCACCACAACCATCACCACCCAACAAACACCACACCACACCACCACCACAACCACCACCACCGCCACCACCACCACCACAACCCACCACCGGCACCACCACTGTCGTCCTCGTCGACTCTACCCGCCGCCGCCGCCCGCCGCCGCAGGCGCCGGCGCCGGCTCAGAAAAGGAAATCGTCGTCCCCGCCGCCGCCGCCAGCCGCCCGCCGACGCAGGCGCCGGCCCGAGGAGAGAGGAGAGGGAGGGGGGGGGAGGGGTTCGAACCCCCCCCCCGTCAGGGGAGGGGGGGGGTTCGAACCCCCCCACATCAATCCAATCCATGGGGGGGGTGGGGGGGGTCCGGTTCCAACCCCCCCCCTCCAACCGACCACAGAACGCGCTCGTTCATACATACAGACATACACATACATATACACAAATGTACATACAAATATACACCCATATACTCGTCAAACAGTGATTGTCCTTAGGGTGTTTTTTTAAGGAACTGGACCTGCGGCTGCGGTCGCCGTCGACGCCCCGTCGCAGCCTGGTCGCCGCCCGTCTTCTGGGCCTGCCCGTCGGTGTGGCGGCTATGTGGTCGCCGTTGCCACCCCGTGGCCCGGGGCCTGCACGTCGGTGTGGTGGCGATGTGGTCGCTATCGCTGCCCCGTCGCCGGCTGGGCCTGCTTTGCTTTGCATTGGTTTGCGTGATTTTGCATTGCACTACTCTGATTTGCAACGAACAGAGGGGCCCCAACAGTCGCCCGCCGCCTCGTCGCAGCCCGCTTTGCATTGCTTTGCGTCGTTGCATTCCAATCGCACTGACTTGCAATCGCATTGCATTGCACTGATTTACAACCATTTGCATTTCTTTGCACTGGGCATTCCATTGCATTGCTCTGCATTGCTTTGCATTGGTTTGCATTGACTTGGCATTAATGAACGTGCAATGATTGTATCGTTATGCATTACATTGATTTGCAGTGTGTTTCATTGGTTGCTTTGCTTTGCTTTGCTTTGAATTGCGTTGCACTGGTTGGCATTGATTGCATGCATTACTCTGCGTTACGTTGCCTTGATTTGCATCATGTTGCAAAGCTTCGCGTCATTTAGCATCGCATTACATTTATGTGCATTGCTTTATTTACGTTGCAGTTCACTACTTTGCATTGATGTGCATCGCTGTGCATTGATTCGCCTTGCTTTACATTGCTTTGCGTTGCATCGCGTTGCACTGTTTGGCATTGGTTTGCACTGCTCCTCACCATTTGTCTTTATTTTGCATGGCTTTGCATTGTTGTGCAGTGATTTGCATTGCTTTGCATTGCTTAGCATTGATCCTACACCACTTTTCTCACCCCACGTAGATTGTACAGCATAGATTGCACCACTGTGGCTCGCGCCACATAAATTGCACTGCATACATTGCATCGTTTAGATCGCACCAAATAGCTTACACCACATAGATCGCACCACTCGGATTGCACCGCATAGGTTGCACCAAATAGCTTACACCCCAGAGATCCCACCACATAGATGGCACCACGTATCTTACGCCATATAGTTCACAAGACATGGACGAGCACTTGCCCTACCACATACATTGCTCCACGTAGCTTACACCACAGCTCACGCCACATAAGTTGTACCGCATAGCATGCACCACATAGCTTGCACCACATAGCTTGCATCACGTAGATTAAAACACATAGCTTTCACCACATAGCTTGCACCACATATATTGCATCACCTAGTATGCTGTAACGCACTGCTTGGGGTCCACGCTGAGGAACGTATCTATAGGTGCATACACAGATTGACACCCATACGTATATATATATATATGTACATATATATATGTATACATATACATAGAATATGAAATATATAATAATCATGAAAATAATAACCATACTAATAATTATAAGTGTCCACCACCGCCCCCCCAGGGCACGAGTTGGACTGTCCTCAGGTCCACGCATCATCTGTATTGAATACTGGAATACTCTGCAAGGGGCAACAGCGGCGCTCCCAGGCGCTTCTGGGCCCTTCTGGGTCTTGGCGCTGGTCTTCCCCGAAGCCACACATGGCTATTTCGCGTCGGACATCCTCCAGAAATCGCCCCCCGAGGAAGGGGGCGCACGAACGTGGCCCCGTGGCCCAGGGCACGTTGCGCTCGTGCCCGCGCTGTGGCACGGAGCCCGCGGCCCGATGATCCCGAGGCCCCCGGGCCCCCATAGCCCGCTTGCCCCGTACCTGGCCCAATGGCTCGGTGGCGGCCCCGTCACCCCGTGGCCCCGCAGGTCCATGGTCAAGCAGCCCGGTGGCCTGGCGGTCGCGTGGACTTTTGGCCACTGCGGCCGCAACCCGTGACCGATAGCCCCTTGGTTATGTGGCCCCGTGGCGCGCAGCATGCAGCCCCATTGGCCCTGCAGCCCCGTTTCAGAAGTCCCGTGACCTCGCCGCGTACGGCACAGGTTCGTGCCGTGACGAGGTGGGCGTTGGTTTCTGACACCGCGCGGATCGTTCAACCTTAACCGATGGCGGCTTTCAAATAGTGCCGATCGCTTGATATCAGCTGGTGCTGGGCCACCGCTGGCATTCAGCCTTGAACGCCCATGCTGGGGTTGCCGCGGCGACATCGCGTCGCAAACCTACCGTACAGCTGGCATGGCTCGATCGGGTGAGAAGCAATTCCCGTAAGATTCTTTCCAGAGTCGGCTTGGTGCCCCCTCATGACAGACCGGAACTTACACACACGCGACTCGGTTCCTCTCGACCCATTACCCGCCAAATCAACTGTTGACTTCTACTTTGTTCCTGCCCCCATCAGGCGTTCACACTCAAGCCTCACGCTGATCTGATCCTTGACGTTTTCTCATTCACCCATCCATCACGTCACTTTGCAAGCCCACTGTCTCACGACCGATGCCAACACGTCGCTGCTGGATGCTACCGCTGCATTGCTACACAGCCATGCGCCGCCGTGCACATCGCTGCACCGCACAACACTGCACCACGTCTCCGAGGCCACAGAGGGCTTCTCAGAAGGCGGGAAGCCGGAAGGCTTCCGACGAGCCCCCTCCGCATTTTGGAAAGCCCCTGCAACGCTGCCCTTCACGGTTTCCCCTGGGGCCGTAGGCGTCCCCGGGAGGAGGAGGAGGAGGAGGAGGAGGAGGAGGAGGAAGAGGAGGAGGAGGAGGAGGAGGAGGAGGAGGAAGAGGAGCAGGACGAGTCCCCGTTTGGCGCGCCGCCGAATTTGGCTTTCGGGTCACAACTTGAGTCTCCGACGGCCGTGCGGGACGATCCAGGCACCCCCCGGAACGCTTTCGGCGCGGCGGGGCTGCTGGGAAGCATCCCGAAGCTGGAAAACCTCTGGAGAACCGACGACAACGTCACAAAACGTCGAACTTCCCCCCTCGGCGCGCCGCCGATGCACCATGCACTCGATTCCGCGCTGCACCCTGCGCGCCACTTTGCCTTTCGGGGGCGTCCAAGGAGGGGCGCGTCCAAGAGGGGCGCGTCCAAGAGGGGGTCTCGCACAGCATGGCCCGAGGCACGTGCGCGCACCTGGAAGGTCTTGAAGCATGAAGCTGGGGTCGACCTCGGGGAGAGATATCATGGCTCATGCCATGATATACGCCCCGCCAAATCATCACCCCCCTCTTGGCCGCCCCCGATCTGCACCCTGCTCTGCCCAACGTCTGGAACCCGAGCCGCGCCTCCAGCCACCGCGACACGTCCGCCTCGCCGCTGCGGCGGATGTCGACCTGCACGGCGCCGCCCCGCGGCTGGGGCGGAACCGACATTGCACCCAGAAACTGTGGCCGATGGAAACCTCGAAACTTTCTTTCGTTGCGAAGCAAAACTCGGCGGGAGTTTTTCGGCCGAACTTCGGTTTCAAGGCGCCTTCGCCCCGGCCCCAGGCTCGTCAAAACAGCGCGGGGCGGAAAACCAATCACAGGGAAGGGGTCTAGACCTCTGGGGGTCCACGTTTCGGGCGTCGTGGTCCGTTTGTCCACGACGAGAGGAGAAAGGAAGAGGAGGACGAGAAGGGGGGAGGAGGAATTGGAATTGCGGGCGCGAGGGGTGACAAGATCAAGACGTGGCAACAATGGCAACATCAGGGATCGAAAGCGCAGACCCTTGTCCATGCAAAATCAAGCTTACCGCGTGCACGCTCTACGCCAGAATGGCCGCGGGTGCGCACGCGCTCTCCTACTCGAATCATGGCTACTGGGAAATCCAGCATGTCCCTCCGCAGCACTTCGCCCACAGGGGACCGTCCGCAGTGAGGTGCTGGAGCATTTACCACGAGGCCTACGCAGTGGACGCTCGGCACAGCTAGCCTATGGCTCAGGAGCTTCAACTCGAACAGAACGTCGCGAATCCTGGGGGGGGCCCTGTCGGCTCGCCCCCGGTCAACTCGTGCGCGGGATGAGCTGACATGACGTGGATCGCGGATCGCAATGGCACCCCACAACAGGGGGAGCCCAAGAACCAGCTCCTCACCTCGATGTGGCGTCGACCAGGCGATGTTGCCCGACAGCTGGTAGCAGCGCACTGCTCCTGGGCGCCCAGCACAGATCGTGCCTGGCGCGCGCTCGAGCCGTAGGTTTTATCTTTGCGCAGCCTCTTGCTGGCACAGTCGCCCGCTCTCAGCGCTCCTTCGCGCGCCCGTTCCCGCGGGCGCGGCTAGTCGCAACGGCGCCCGGGGCCAGCAGCGCAGCTCTGCCCGCGTGCATCAGCGGAATTTCACCGCGACTATCTTGCCGAGCGCGCAAGCACACTTCAGCCAGTGGTACGCGGTAGCGTGCCGCGGGCCGCTGGACCTTGCCGCCGACGACCACCGACCGGCGGTCGCCTTGGCACGGTCTTGGGTCCAGAGACTGGCGGACTGTACACTGCCAGCCAATATCAGCAGTCCGAACACAGAATGCAGGCCGCGGCGTCGCACGGGCCACGCTGCTTCATGGAGCGCGTTTCGGGCCACGGGTCCGAGGCGATGATAGACGGGCGCGCCTCCGAGACGCTGTCAGAACCATCGCGCACGGTCGGGGCGTTGACGTAGTCGACCAAAGGGGTCGATCGTTTTCCGCGGAGCACGGCGTCGGACAGCTCCTCGATGCCTGGGCCGACACCCTGGTCGGCGCGGGAGCCGCCGCCTCGCGGGTTCCGCCGCTGGCAACGCTGAACAGCCGCTCGCCGCAGATGAGCTCGCTCGCGCCCAGATTCCCGATCCCGCCCCTGCCGCCCACGGGGATGGCCGCGCCCTAACACTGGGCAGGCGCGACGCGCCCGCGCGCGATCGCGCCGCAGGCTACGACGGCGGCCGTGACAGAGCGCGGTCTCAGACGACGTGTCCCGCCAGATTGTGGCGCGCACATGTGAGTGCACGAAACTGATCCGATCCTTGTCGTCCGAAGGGAACGGTGCGGTGGGAGTTGTGCATAGGCGGCGCGAAGAGCGCGCCCGGCTTGGTCCGGGGCTTCCTCGAAACCTACTTTGCGCAGTCCCCGTGAGCTCGGTGGGTCGAACACCGATCAGCGGGACGACGGCAGTGGATCTCCCGCTCGGAGCCGAAATCGCTGCCGGAATGCTGCGCGATGGGCCGCAGGCGCACGAACACGTTCTCGAGGTGCCAACGCCGGAGGAACATGGCGTCGCGCACTGTCCATGGGGCGCTGGCGCCGGCAGGCAAGCTGCCTGCAACGCCGCGCCCGCGCATGACTCGCGACCGTGTCCAGCCACTCGGCACTTTGGGCGGGCGTCTGACGAGGGCGGATACCACGCGCCGAGGGCGGTTCTCGGACCCGCCGCTATTGCCACAGGCTGCGCGCAGGGCAAGCCCGCCAACAAAAGGGTGGCGCACGCTTAGGAAAATCCAGCCGAGTGGCTGGCGCTCACCACCAGACATGCTGGCGCTGCCAGGTCGGTTGCGACAATGGCGCGGAGGTCGCGCCCGCGCCTGAAGCACTGCGCAGACGCACCACCGCGCACAGACGACGCCCCAGCAATCGTCGCACAAAGCGCAGGCGCGTCACGGCAGAAGCAAGGTGCTTCGCTCCTGTAGTCCTGCAAGCTCTCGGCGCGCATCATGCGACAGCTCTGCGCGTTGTCAGGGCCCTCGATGCGCGGGGGGGCGCGACCTCTATGCTGCCGAACTCGAGCCCTGCCGTCGCGAATTCGCGTCGACGGGCTCGAACGACATGGCGAGGGTTCCAGAGCAGACATCGCTGGTGACCTCGTGGAACGACTGCGTATTTTTGGCAGGTTATGGAAAAACAGCCAGCCGCTGCGGCCGCGCGCGCCTGCTCTGGACGCTGACCACGGCCAGATTGCAGACATTCGCCACGGATGGAACGAGCAAGCCGAGCGAGCTCCGCCCCGGCCGAATGCGCGGCGGCCGCCGCGTGATGCGGCGACGCCAACCTGGCCGAGCCTCTTCAGAACACGGCGGCCGCTGCGCCGACTGACGCTGTCACGACGGGATGGCGGAGGCGAGCGTGCCGAGGCTTCCGCCCCCGACGGCGGGCGCGAGGGGCGCTATGGATGCGCCCATCTGCATGGCAGCTGGCGGCGCGGGCGCCGCTCGCGGCGCAAACCGGGCTCGGCGCACGCGCGCGCGCCCCTCTTTGCCGATGCCGCGGAGGTGGCGCGCGCATTCGTACGGGGGCGCGCGCGCGTCGCAGTGCTTCTCGGAGTGCCGTTACTCGTTGTTGAAGCCCGTCGCGCACTATGCGATGCGATGAGATGCGATGCGATGCGATGCGACCACCGTTGTGGACAGCGCCAGGGCCTACTCAAGGCGGGGCGGGCGAGGTCGTGACCTCGGGAATCTGGCGTGTCTGGACAACACGCAATGCGAAACAAGCGCGCAGCAGAATTGAGAGGGCGGAAAGAGGATGGCACTTGCGGTCGGTCGTGTCAGCCCGTCACGCACTAGTGACATGCGGCCCGCGCTGTTGCCCATGTCAACGAACTCGCCGCGCCCTGTCGCGCACCCAATGCCAGCATACTTCACGAGATGTCTGGCACCACGCCTTGCACGTTTCAAAGAGCGGGCGCCGAATACAGACGCGGGCGGCCGCGGCACACAACGCGCGCAAATTGCGGCAACTGGCGCGGAACACAATGGATCGCAACGAAATATGGCTGGCCACTTTCTTTCCGGTAGAATCGCAACGGGGTGCGACCACCCGCGTGCCAGAGCAAACAAGCCCGCCCTTCCATCACACGCAACGGCGCGCATCCAGCAAATGAGAACACGGCATCTCACACCGCATGGCTGCGTCGTCACATCCGCGCGGCAAGCCTGGGCGACAATAAGTTTGAAGTCGGAACTAGTTTGCACGCCGCGGCTATGCCACCTGCAGGTTGGGCCCTGAATAGCTTGCGAGTGAAGGGGCCGAGGAATCCAAGCGACTGATCGCCTTCGCTGGGCCTGCGCGGTGAGGCTCCCGCAGTTGGAGGACTTGCGCGCGTGGCCCAGGAGGTGGAAGGAGTCGCATAGATGTCGCTGCTGCTCAGACTGGCCGCATCTGGCTGAGCAGGTGCAACTTTGACGTCAGGGCACCTTGCGAGGCTCTGGCTGTTTCCCTGGATGGGCTTCGCAAGCAACAGTCAGCGAGCGTCACGTGCTCTGTCGGGACGCGGAGAGAGAGGCCCGCCGCGCCGTCGTCGCGACGCTCGCGAACATCGGCGTGAAAACAAAGAACACGTGCCAAATCTCGAACTTCGTCCTATCCACTGACATTGCAGACGCAGCTCGGCGGAGTCGAAAGGAACGGGCCCGTCGTCGAGGTCCGCGGCTCTAGGAGGCCGCGCTGGACGGCCACGGCACCACCCGGCCTGAACGCGAGACGCAAGACGGCGATGCGAGGGCGCTTCAGACGTCCTCGGGCGGCCGGTGCGCGGGCGCCGTCGACGCTCAAGCCGCCGCGCATAGCGCCCGTCGCACGCGCGGGTTGCACCCGCCAGAGATCGAACGCTCGAGCGGCGCCTCGCGCGCCAGCTCGCGCGGGGAATTCGGCCGTGCACGCCTGCGGCGCAATAGCTGACCGTTGGCATTGGAAGTGCTGGAGGACCTGCGGCGATGATGGCGCTGGCCACGACTACCATGCACTCCACTAAGTACCCGCGATGGTGGCATCCGTCGTCTGCTTGAACTGGTAGCCCAAGGATCTGCACCATCGCGGATGTCACGCCCTGAATTGGTCGGACACGGAGACTCACGCACCCAGGCGAAACGTCGAGCGCTGCCTCGCGCGAGGGCGCCGCGCCTGCGCGCGCGCCTGGCGCAACGAGCCAGACGCATGAAAGCCAAGAGCGCGCCGATGTCAAATATCATAGCACCTGGGCAGCGCTCCGATGGGTCGCCATCGCGCTCGTCGGCGACGCGGAAACGGATAGGGCGCGCGCGCGGCCTCTCGCGCACAGCGCGTCACCAGGAGGACGGCGCTGGCACGGCAGCCCGCGCACCCGGCATCCACCAACGCCGCGGACGGCGCCAGAGCAGGAGACGGCGCACCAAGCATACGGCACCACCAAGAGAAGGCGCTGGAGCAGGATACGGAACTTCGGGGGGGCTCTGGACCATGCGACGGCACACCCAGCACCCAGCACCGCCGAGAGGAGGGCGCGGGAGCAGGCGACGGCGCGAACGGCACCCGGCACCACAAAGAGGTGGGCGCCGGAGCAGGCGACGGCAAATCCGGCACCAGGCACCATCAAGCTGCATGCCTTGATAAGCACGCACATGCTTCATTCA